CAGCAACTGATATCTTAATTCCTTTGAAGAAACGTACCTAAAAGCTAATTTATCTGTAACATTTCATGCTTGGTTTCCAAATAAGTCTCCATAATCTCCTCTTTACCTACACGCATTCTTCTCACACAGGTATCAACACTCACTTTCAATGGGGAAATTCACGACTTCATGCTAAAAGTTCACTCCATAATATTAAATCTCTTCAGCATAATGACTTCTCAGCTACCACTTTGAGATTTCTCTGTATCAGCAGTTTCAATTATTGCTTAATACACTTTTTTCCATACTGGCAATTTCACATGAGCTAGATTTCAAGACCCTTTAAGCATGGTCTGCTAAGCTTTAGCCTGGAAGAATTCTGAATGTTAGGTAATTATTTTTTTTCTGAGGTATTATGCCTAAATGCTTTAATGGAGAAATGACAGTCCAAACCCTGAAACAGCTTTTCTACATGTATGACACAAATAAGAAATGTGTCTCATGAGATGAGGCTACAGTATTTGGCTGCTTTGAAAGCGTATGTTGAGAGAAATAATTTATTTCCCAAACAAAAATAACCTATGGTATTATGCTCTGCTTAGCTCAGCCTTTCTCTTTATTAAAAGCTATTAAATGCAGAGTTTCTAGAAATGCTGTTCCCTCCTGTTCTCACCTGAAAAGAACACCATGCTCAGAGTTAAGCTTAAACCAACCAACTTCAATATTTAATGCTAGACTAGCTAATGTTTATTACAATAGCCCATTAACTCTCAGAGCAAAACCAAGTAACACCACCATGGATAAACAGATGGGAAATGCAGGAAAATCAAGGCTATTTCTGTACCACAGCAGAGAAACAACCCTAAACTTAAATGACATTAGAAAGGTAAGCAGCACATGTAAACTGTTCATGTTTTTCCTTATATATATGTACACAGCTTTCTTTTAAAAGCATTAGTGTAATATATTTAATTTATGCAGAGGAATGAGGAACGGTTCTGATGCTGACAGTCACTTCTGCACCGATTAACTATTCATAAAACACTCACTAGCATCGGGAAGTGCCTTTGAAGCAACAGTAAAGGCTCGGCAAAGCTTTTATCATATTAAACATAAAATGGGAAACTTCATGTTTACAGCTACCAGTACTCATGAATCAGACGGCAAGTTTTTCATGCTGAAAGCAGCAGCCACCTCAAGCCACAGAACACAGATTTTATTTTTTTATTCTTTTTCTGCCGCAGTCCTAATGAAACAGACAGATGGATCTCACCTTTCAGAATAATTAAAATGGATTTACAGGTTGTGTTATGACTCAAATTGTGCTTGAATTACAACTGAGTCTGAAATTACCAAATTAGGCTATTTATTGATGGTTTCAAGTCTTGTCAACAGAAGCCATGTCCCTGAAGGTGTTTAAGGAGAGGCTGGATGTGGCACTTAGTACCGTGGTCTGGCCCATGTGCTGGTGCTGGGTCACAGCCTGGACTTGATGATCCCAGAGGCCTTTCCCAGCTTCGACGATTCTGTGACTCTGTGATTTCACTGAATGATTTTCTTCTAAAAGCTAACAATTTCTCCAGGCTTACACCATGCCAGTCATCTGTTTCTCTCCAGTTTTATTCACTCAAAATCCCTTGAGAAATAATTTTTTTAATGTACCCAGTTTTTCCATGAACTGTTTGGAACTGGATATAGCTTTATGGATTTAATCCTCAGAAGCCAAAGTTTAACGATGGAAGAGAATACACTGTCATTTACAAACAATAGCAGGGATTTTAATTCCCTCTCACAGATAAGCAGCATTAAGTACCAGATGTTTCAGAAAACAAAGGCCTCATCGTGCTCCTATGGAGTTTATAGTACGTGGTCACGGGAGGCAGTAGCGGGAACGCACAGAATGTAACCAAGAGTAACACACCATCACTTGATTTCTCAAAAACCTTGAACTGATAAACAAGTAAACTGAAAGTGCCGAAGGTGCTGACAGTGCGTTTGCTAGTAAAGCTTTAATGCTGAACTGCTGATTGAACGGGTCTCTCAAGAAGGTTAATGAAGATTTCTAGAGATCAATACTCATCAAAGTGTCAACTAATACAATTTCATCTGGAGTCCGCCTGCCACTTCTCTTATTTGGTGCATTTTTATACCCTTTGAATCCTCAAAAAGTTAGCTACTTCATTTTGAATTCTTAAGCTGCAGATAGCAAGAAATCAAAGAGCTAGTTGGAATAATAATAAAAAAATATTATATATTTGGCTTTTTCTTGTTGCTAAGCTACTAAAACCCATTTAGGACTACAAGGCTGTTACAGATTTGTAGCTGCATTTCTGACAATCTAAGGACATAAAGATATAAGGATATCAATCTAAGGATAGCAATGAAGTCACAAATCAGAACTTATTTCAGTAGGGGTACAGCAACTTAGGCACTTCCAGGCCTTTGCAATTCATTGGATCTGTCGAATCAAGCAGCTCCTGCTGTTGCGTTTAGTCCTTTCATTAAGAATTCAGAACTTCAGGAAATTTAAACACATGAAGACTTCAAACACTGTCAGATTGGAAAGGGACTATCCAGAAAACTCTCTCCTTCAGTTGCTGAAATCTCATTCCAGAACACGTAGGAGAAATGGTTCACCTGCCAAATCAGAACTACACCTCTGATCCAGGGAACACCACCAGCTAGGCAAGTCAAATACCTGCAAGCAGAAAGTGTGTAACATAGCATTAATGTGCCTAAGGTTGTAATGGTGGTAGCCAAGAAGAATCTCAGATGATTTCAGTGACCAAAGTTTTCTCTGAGACACAGAACACAAGCACCCACTGTAATTGTTAATATTCAACATGCATCTGTTAGGAAGAGTCTCTTTTGCACACCCGGAAGGCTCCTGGTTCTTCGATTTATTACAAGCAAAGTTTAGCCGGTTGAGTCACCACACTTCCCCAGGTGCCGCTCCTCAAAAATAGTTTCTCCAGCCAGTTTAATCTCACAGAAAAAAACGACTGAACGTTGCTTTTAGCAAAACAAGAAGCAAAGGGAATATTACAGCAGTTTGCCGGCTCTGTGCAACCCCCTCCAGTGAGGAATAAATAGAGCTCATGTTGAGGCAGACAGATGTTGAGGTTGATAAAGGTAAACAGAACCATGTAAGAGGTAATTACCAAACAGGCGAGATAAGTCACCCGTGAATAACTTAACCCTTCAGTGAATCCAACACTGGTTATTCCCCTGCTCAGGGAACAGCAGCCAGAGCACAAAAGATTCCAATTAGTTCCCAAAGTGCTGACATTTGTAACCAGTTAATAAATCTTATCTCTACGGCATGGAACATCGTCATCGCATCCCCGCAGCCTTTTTGCGTGGCTTTGTCCATTTGCCGGCTTTTCTAGAAGGAGAACTCTTCCCTTCCCCCAAATCCCACCGTTATTTTGATCGTTGGGGTTGGGGAAGGAAGGGAAGAGATATTAATTATCTGGAGGAAACAGATCTGCTAGAGGAGCTCACAAAAGAAAATGTAAACTAGTGGACTGGTCAGTAATTAAGAGGACGGTTTATTTATGCTGTCTGACCTTACTCTATGGAAAGGTAAAGTCAGCTTAGCCAGCTTTACATTTTAAACACCCAAGCGCCAGCACAAACAAGGAAGCCAACAAAAAAGTACAGGTCACTTAAACTGGGGGGCTTCTCCATGCAAAGTTTTTGCATTCATGGTAGGCAGTAATTGAACCAGTACCGCCAGTACAAATTGCTGAAGTCTCTAAACCTCAGCTTACCCAAAAGAGAAACTCTCAGAACAAGTTATGGACATCCTAAACACTCTTACATGAAGTTGCATGGGATTTATGCAGCAAGTCAGATTGATCAGAAAGTTCCTCTTTGGGGAACACTTAAAAAGTATTTTAACTATGCCATTATTATATTAAAAAAAAAAAAAGGACATTGATGAGCTCTGAAAATGAAAATTTTCAGGAAAACTTGGAGGCATAACTCATCAGCATTTCTCGTGGCACTAACCACACCGATCACTGTGAAAACACATTTTTTAACTGCAGGAAGACTACATGAACGAATTTGTACACTGCATGCTCACAGATTTAATCTTTTATGCTCCATTGTCATACCAAACATAAAAGTAGATGTGTCATTTGAGATGCTAACCTTGAAATTTCTAAACAGTGTTCTAAATAGTATTCAACAAACATTTTACAGAATCAGTTGAGTGCTTCTGTTCAGACACAACTGAGCATGCTGTAAGGTACTACTGTAGGTATAAGCTAAAGCAAACATTAACAAATATATAATATGCCTATATTATATATACACACTTATACAGCGCACACAGGTCTTTGATTTATTCACACATAGAAGCATGCTCAATCCAGCAGTTTCGTCCAGCTTCATGTAATATTTTCTGATATCTGACAGAGACTGTGATTTGATAAAGGTAATACAAGATACCTTTAATACCATAAGCACTGTCACTATTCTAAACCCCATTACTCCCCTACTATTATTTAAAGCTATGGTATAATTTTTTTTTCATATGCAATCAAGTGTTATAAACTAGAGAGATAAATCACATAAGACTAACCTGTGGGTTGAAATTAATGCAGTATTTCACTAGTAGTTGGAAAATTTAATTAAACTGTTAAGTACTGTAACCTGAAGCATTTCTCCATAAATTAAAAAAACCCAGTTTACTGCAATTCTTTATAGTATAATATTGTTTCTAGGACACTTACCTCTTAATAAAGAAATTTAGAAGCTCTTTAGAACAAGAACTCAAGTGAGGTTAAAATTTTTACAGAGGGAAGTAATACTAGGTAGAAGATGAATGCAGATGGAAATCTTCCCCACTTAAACATGGTCACACAACTGAATTTACAGCACAGCCAATAAAAACAAACAAACTAAACATTTTTACCTTGTCTATTTTTAGTCTGCAGAACCCTCTTCTTCAGACTTCAGTCAATGCAAAAAGATACAGAAAGTTTTGATTAACAGAAATGAGAATTACTTACCAATTTGTAACAACACAGGTGTTACCAAAGCTGTCTCCATGGCATAACAAAATTCCCTACCAAACATTACTGCACCATGCATCACCCACAGGCGTATCGGTATCCGGTCTATGGATCCTTCACTAATGGTCTCCTCCCTACTTTCATTCTCCTTGGTGTCTGGTTTCTGAAGCTGTGCCACAGGTAGATCTTGAACTTGCATAGATTCCGAGTCAGCATTCTGGGGAGCCATTTTCATAACCATAAAAAATA